AGTATTGCTATTGAGGTCTGGGCCTTTCCAGGTTCTTCTTGTTCTGAACAAAGAATTGGACAAGAACATCCACAGAAGATCTTATGAGGCTTTAATGCATTAAAGGTAGGGAAAGAAGTGAGCTCTCCACGCAAGCTCTGAACGAAGGGCAGGAAATGGCTGGGTAGAGGTGACGACACAGGTTGGCATGGGACAGAGAATAGTGGCAGCAAAGTGGGAAAGGAGGAAGCCTAATGTTTTCCAGACTGAGCAAAGGACAGTGTCCAGGGGACAGTCCACATAGCCGGCCGAGGCTCCCGTATGAGCTGGGGTAAGGGTGATAGTTCCCAGGTGGACAATGAGTACGCGCTCCCCCTGGGAACTTGCACAGGAAGCCATGCAGGGAGACAAGGACAGGGCTCCCGGAGCTCTGGCACTGATCAACGGCTTGGGAAAGAGCAGGCTTCCTGTGTGCCCTCTCTTCTATTCTCTTCTGCTTGGCCAAGGGTCCTGGGGCTGGCTGGCTTCTTTCCTGGCACAGAGCAGACAGGCAAACGCAGCCTTGGGGCTGGAGTAGAAGCCCAGAGAGGCCAGGCCAGGTTCGCTGAGCTAGGAATAGGGGTAGGGGAGGCACGGGAATGCAGTGTGGGGATGTGTGGGGGGACATAGCAATACACAGAGGGTGGAGGAGAGGACTGCAGAAGGGCTCATGTCTGCTAGGAGCGGGACCCATTTTGCTATTGTTTTCTTTTTGAGACTCGATCTCGCTCTATAGTCCAGACTGCCCTGGATCTCCCTGTGTAGCCCAAGCTGGCCTTGAACTCACTGCAATCCCCGTGTCAGCTTCCTTCTGAGTGCTGGGATTACAGGTGCGAGCCATCATGCCAAGCTTTACCTTGCTATTTTTGAAGCAATACCATTTGAGATCTCTTTTAAATTGTTTTGCTGTCACTGAACTGAACACCTGTGCACACAAAGCCAAAGCCAAAATAGTAGTTGCAGCACTCATGGTAGTAAGTACATTCAGTTTTATGTAATAGTTGCTAATGCTACATCCATTTTATAGAAAAGAGAATCAAGGAAGGGAAGGGTCAAATTGATTTTCCCAGGGTCACACAACCAGAAGTTCAGGAACTGAATCCTGGTACTTGAACTTACGGAAACTAAAGAACTTAAGATTTTTTTAAAAAAAATTTGCTATCAAATATTTTAACATATTTTTCTGTTAAAAATAAAGAGGTAGAATTCTGTTGGCTCCAGACATCTTAAGCAGTTCTTCTAGCTTGGAGATTTGTTAAAATATACACAGAGAACCATGCTATGTATGGGTGGGGAGGGGCACTAATGTTCTTTCACAGAATAAAATGTGCTTTTCTTTTCTCCCACGCACCGAGCACCCAGAGAAGTGTTGATTCTGGGTAGGCGTTGGCCGAACCCATGGAATAAAACTCACAAGGCACTGCGTGTGTGGCTGCCCAAGTGGGGTCAGACAAAAGTGCTGTTCACAGTCCTCGATTCCTTCAGGCATTGGGATGCTCCATTATTTTCTAATAATCATTTTTATTTTATTTTATTGATATTTTTGTCACAGTTGGGATTGAACTTTGCACTGAGTTCCATCCCTAGCCTTTTATAAAGTTTTTAAAAATTTTGAGACAGGGTCTCACTAAATTACTAAATTTTGCCTAGGACAGGCTCAAACTTGTGACAGCCTCCCAGAGTGCTGGGATTACAGCCATGTGGTACCATGCCCAGATACTGGTTTATAGAGGCGACTTCTTTGCTTTGCATCATGATTTATATATAGATGTCCCCCAAAGCCACATGCTCTCACAGGTAGATTACAGGGGTGTGATACCCATCAGTGAATTAGTCCACTGATGAGTTTATAGCTAAATGTGATGTCGGGAGGCGAAGCCGGATCAGAGACAGCGGGTTACCAGGGTTGTAGCCTGGAAGAGTCTGTCTCTTTCCTCCCTTCACCTTTCTCTCCTTTCTTCTACCATGCCACAAGCTTTTCCTCCTCTACCACGCCATCCCACCTTGGAGCCAAGCCAACCAAGGACTGAAACATCTACAAGCTGTGAGCCAAAATAAACCTCTTGTCCTCAGAAGTGTGGGTGTAGTGTTGCGTCTCAGTAGCAAGAATGTAACTAAAGTGGGTTATACCAGAAAAGTGGGGTTATACCTGTGAGTACCTGACATGTTGCTCAGAAGCCTCTGCAATTACTCTGTAGGAGAGGTTTGGAACGGTTTGGAGATGCAGACTTTGAAGGAGACTGAGATTAAGGGTTGAATAATCTGATAGAGGAAATTTCAAGGAAGTCTACTGTTACACCAGCAGCATGGTTACTGTTGGGGGTTGTTATCTACCTCTATGTTGAGAAGAGTGAAGACAGCAGCTGAAGGAAATAAAAAGTTTTAAGTTTGGCGGGAAAGGAAGCACTGGGAAAGCTGAGGCGTGCAGAGATAGAGCAGAGGGGAACTTGGTTGCTAAAAATATTAGCATTAAAAAATACAACAGGACAGAGGAAGTTCCTGTTGAGGGTATGAGAAACCAGTAAGGACAGTCCTTTGCAGGCTCAAAACTGCAAAAGTGAAAGACTTTGCTTTGAGAAGAGAGCTCCAGGGAACTCAGTTTGAGAAGGGGCGAAAGGCATTGATTCCCTGGGATTCAGGCCACCACGCTCAGCTACCCAGGCACACAGAGGCCCCCGCAAACTAGCAAGATGCTGTGAGGCCAGACTACTGTTCCACCTGGCTGCAGACCTTGGTGTCATGCATGTGATGCTGGTCCTAGATGCATGCAGAATACAACAGTTTTTTATGGTTGGGAAGGCTTCTACCCAGATTTCAGTGTAAGGCCTGGGAAGGCAGTGTGTGAAGCTGTGAGAGTGGAGGTGACGGTGCAGTGAAGACCCCAGGATGCTGGAAAAGCCAGGAACACGCATCAACTGAGGAAAAATTGCAAGAAGTGAGCAAAGCTGGCCCAAGGGAGAAGCCATGAGGGCTACCAGCAGTGCCACCGCAGCAGGGCTGCCCGAGCCCTTTGGAGATGCATTTGCCGCAACTGGACATGAAACTACACCAATTAATGTTTGCCCTGCTGGGTTTTAGTTTAGCTTTCGTCGCAGTCCTTTCTTCCTGTTTCTGCCTTTTGGGGAGAGAATGCTTACCCTGTTTCTTCGTAAGTTTTGAACTTTTCCTTTTTATTTTCATAGGGGCTCAGAGTAAATAGTCTTAAATCTCAGAGGTGTGAGACTTGGACTTTTCAACAAGACTAAAACAGTGAGGACTCTGGCAACTCTCAGAGCTGGATCTTGCATAGAGACACACAGGAGTCTTGAAGAGGTTAAGGCCAGAATGTTATGGTTTAGATCTTGATATTCCCCCCTACCCCCAAGCCTCCAAGAATGTTAACTTGAAATAAAGTCACAGAGAAGGACTCAAGAATAAGTGGTTTTAGTGCCAGTCGTGGGCCTCGTTGGCGATGTGTCCTTCCCTCAGGCTGAGGTGGGCACACAAGTGTCACTTGTCCTCCCGTCTTTTCTTCCCCCTCCCTCTGGTCTGCTGGACTTCTGTCCGGGGGTTGAGTGAGGAGGAGCTTTACTGGATCCAGCCGGATTTAAACTCAGCAGCTCTTCTTGCCAGGGTGGGCTGCCCCTCTGTAGGGACAGGTCCTCAGGTTTTCACTGTGTGTACATATTCATGATCTCCTGGGCATATTGGGAACAAAGAGGAGTAAAGCGGGTTTGCATTTATCTGTATGTGTTCAAGTGTGACTTCCTGTCTTGGTGGGTCATTTCTTTCAAATGCTGGGCTACAGTTTTTAAAATACATTAAACATTTGACTGCTTGTCTTTCAGTGAAATTTAAAAACCAGAATAACATAAACACGTCTTCTAACTTTAGGATTCTAGTTTTGGTTTATATGCATGTCCCTTTACAGGACGATTTAATAGTTATCCCTTTAATGTGTATCATGATTGAGATTTTGTTTGTTTCTTTATTAGTGGAGAAATGGCCCAAGCTGTCTTTGAACTCCCAGGGTCAGGGACCCTGTTGCCTGGACCTCCAGAGTCTTGAGGCCGCCGGCACTCCTAGGCTAGGCCGGTGATTATTGAGTTTTGATTGCTGTTTTTGGGAGAGTTCACCACCACTGTTACAGTACTTGTAAGTGGTAAGGTCCACATAAGATGCTTGTACTTGATCCTCTTTACCAAATTCTCCGCATGTAACACACAAGACAGAAAGCACTTTTCCAGCATTTCATTCAGCAACCCTGGCGTTTTATGATTGCTTATTCTGCACTTGTTCAGACAGGGGTAGGGGTGAACTACTGGGAATGGAAGGGGGCGTCTCCAGCCCAGTGGCCCAAAGCAAACTGACTTTACTTCTGGGTTTAACAGCCCTACCCCCAGCTCTGAAATCCCAACCACCCGGAGTCAGGCTCCCCCACACCATCCAGCTCCAAAGATCAAACCAGGCCCGTGGCTTGCACGACCCTGACTCACACGCCAGCGACCGAGTTGAGGGCCCGGCTGTCCCGGGCTTCGCGAGGAAGCTGCCATTCAGCGAAGACCGAGCTGGCGCTGGAAGTTTGTCACCACGCCCAGAGTTCGTGTGTGGGCTGGACCCGGCCGCAAAGCGGCAAATTGGGCCGCAGCCCCGGGTGACAGAGGCCCGGCCCAGCGGCAGAAGTCCGGGACGGCGGAGAGAAGCGGCCGCGTCCGGACGCAAAGATCGCGGCGCGGCCCGGGGCTGCGGCTCGGCTCCGGACGGCGGCGACCCCGAGGAGCCCCGCGCCCCGCCACCAGGGCACCCGCGCACCCGGCGAGGCCCCACTTCCTCCTCCGCGGCCCCGCCCCCAGAGGCCCGCCCCGCCCCCGCCCGCCCCCGCCCCCACAGGCCCCGCCCCGGGCCCGCCCCCACATGCCCCGCCCCCGCCCCGCTCCCATAGGGCCCGCCCCCGAGGCCCCGCCCCGGCCCCGACGCAGCGCCGCCCCGCCCCGCCCCGCGCCCCACTTCCCGCGGCCCGCGCGGCTCGGCTGCCGCGTCCCCGGCCCGCGTCCCCGGCCCGGCCCGGCCCGGCCCGCGCGCAGGAGCGGGAGCCCAGCAGCGCCGCCATGGCCCCGCCGCGCGCGCGCCTCCTCCCGCTGCTGCCGCTGCTGCTCGCGCTGCCCCGCGGCGGCGCCTTCAACCTGGACGCCGACGGCCCCGCCGAGTACGCCGGCCCCGAGGGCAGCTACTTCGGCTTCGCCGTGGACTTCTTCGCGCCCAGCGCGTCCTCGTAAGTGGCCGCGAGGGGACCCGAGCCGGACCCCACGCCGCACCCCAACCCCGAACCCGCGCTTTCGGGGGACCCCGAGTGCGCGTCTCCAGCCGAGTCCCGGACCCGCTCCGAGCCGCCGGGGCTGCGGGCCGAGCTCCCCGAGTCCCGTCCCGGCCGTGAGACCCAGGCGCCCGCGGCACCTTCTGTCATTGTTCCCCGGGATCGCGGGGTGCGCCCGGGTTAGGGGGCGGGCTGCCGGTGCCCAAAAGCTGCGGTCTTGAGAGGTCCGGGGGCGGCTTCGAGTTGCCCACGTCCCGCGTGGCAGCGAGCCTCAGGATCGCAGTCCCGGGTGTCGGATGGAAAGTTTCTCCGCTTCGCCGGGGCTGACGCGCTGTCCCCTCCCCGCCCCCACGGCGCGGTACAAACCCTGATTTAATCGGTGTCCGCCCGCGGGATGCTTTTGTGATGTTTACATCTGGTTTCCAAGCAGGGAGCTGTTCTTCTCTCGCCTCTGAGCGCTTACACATAGTAGCCAGTTTTCGAGCATTTTCTGGGACGTGAGGTGTCCTTTTGCGCCGGAGATGCACGGGGTGATTTTGATGGTCAGCACTGGGACGGGAACGCTCTTCCACTGCAAATACGCCTGGCTGGAGGCAGCCTAAGGAGTTTTTAAATGATACCAGGACTTGCTACAGGGTTTATTCTTGGCGTTTTTCTAAATGGTACTAAGTGTCACGCAGCTATCTTCGCAGCAGTGCATAGTGTGGACGCAGTTAGTGGAAACTGGCTCCGGCTTTCTGTAGCAAAATTTGTTTTTGCAGTTACAGTGCTTCCTGTGCGACCTGAGCACAAATTTTCCAGATTGAGAGAATCATTTTTTTTTTTTTTTTTTTTGGTGGGAGGCGATGGAATCAATTTGGGGATACCAAGCATCCCCAAACCCAGCCCCTCCATGTAATCATTTTAGTTAGCTTAAGTTCGACAATTTTATTTCCAGGTATTTTTAAGTGTGCTACTTTCTAGGCTCGAGTATCTTAGTTGCTTCCAAAGGTGTGCTTTTAGATTTGATTTGCACAAAGATTCTAATAATTGTGGAAGCATATTTCCTGTTTTGACAAGAGTTCCTGTGATACAATGTTTTGGGAATGTTATTGTTAGTAGTTAAAACCCATAGTGTTCAGCATAAGGATACAGGAGAGGTTTCCAAATGGGGTGGGAATGGGGCTATTGGGGGCCAACCCTGACCCTTTGTGCTGACCTATAGCTCTAACCCTCACACTTTTTTTTTTTTTTTTTTTTTAAATATTGAGATGGGGCCTTGCTAAATTCATAAATTGTCCAGGTTGGGCTCGAATTTGTCATCCTCTTGGATCAGCCTCAAGGAGTGCTGAAGTGATAGGTGTGCAGTATCTCATTTCTTATTCATGTTTTTATGTACTTGCAAGTGTTTTTACCAGGGAAAGTGCAGTAATACTGAATGTTACTGATATTTGCTGCTTTGGGTGTAAGCATGTGGTTGATATTAGGCCAGTCATTTAGGATCACTGAACTGTGATCTCTCAGATTATAATATTTTAAAATATTCATCAGCAACTTTGTTACTAGTCGATTAGGGAGCTCCAGGTGTAGCCTCATCTAAAAAATGGAAACCAGCTTTGAGTTGTTTTTTTCAACAAAAAATATAAACAAGTGTTTCTACTTACAATTTCTTTTTAGATTAAACAAAGCTGAATGTGAAGTATGCTTAATTTTGTAAAAAGGCACCTTTGAATTTAATAAACGTTGGAATCCTAGGTATATGGAATGTCATCACTCTGTTATTACTTGGGGGAGCTATGGTTGATATTTGATGTTATCATAAACTTATAAATGAAAACCAAATAAAAATGTGTTTGGAAATAAAACAGTTCCATTCCTCAGCGGAAGAACTAGCAAAGAATCACAGTTGACGTCCACTTCTGCATCTTCCATTTTAAACCATCAAGTACCTTGGGCAAGGTGGAGAATCATTTTGAGCCTCATTTTTCTTGTTACAGAGAACTATTAAATTATGGTCATGTGGTCATTGTGAAAGCGAATAGATTAATGTTTACTAAGCAGGAGAGAAAATAAAGTACTAAGCAAAACTGTGAAAGTAGGTCCTCAAAATACCACTTTAGAAATGAGCCTTAGGTTTGAAATCAAAATTCACAAAGATACTGATCCAAAATAATGAAAAATAAAAAGTTAGCACTCCGTTCTTTTTTTCTATAAGCATTACTTTATGGGAACCATGTTGTTAAAATGGCATAATATTTAAACATTGGGCAAAGGCTAAGCACTAGTCATGTTTTTCTTGTGGAGAATAATTGGGGAAATTAAAATCTTGCATATTAGGTTAATAATAATAATAATATTTTACATCAGTAAAACTCTATCGTAGTTCACAAAGCAATTTTGCTCATAGCGCTTTTCATTCTGCAGTACAAACCGCCAGATGATGGTGGGGGAAGCTGATCAGATAAGAAACCTGAGTCTGTGCAGCTCAGCCTTTGGTGGTTTGAGCAGGTTGCTGTGTAGGGGCAAGGGAGGTATCTCAGTCACTTTCCTTATCACTGGGATGAGGATGTCCTTCTGGATACCTGAGGTTTAAGGGAGGAAACATTTATTTCCGCTTGTTTGTAGAGGTTTCTACGCACCTGGCAGAGCAGCATGGTGGAGGAGGGCTGGGGCTGCTCCTGACATGGTGTCCAGGAAGCAGGGAGTAAATCAGAGGAGGGCTGGGGAGGGAAATACAGCCTTCCCCATAAAGCCCATCTCGACCCACGTCTTCTAACCAGACCCCACCGCCTCACTAACAGCAAGCCAGTGATCAGCTCCCACGATTCAGTCCCTTCCAAAGGTGCTGCCTGTGCTCACATGAGGCTTTAGGGGGATATGTGGTTATAAACCATAACATTCTGCCCCTAGCCTCTGCATATTTCTCTGCAAAATGCATTCAGTCTTATCACTAGGAGTTGTCAGTGTTCTAACAATTCCAGCATTATTGAAAAATCCAAGTTCAAAATCTTCCCTGAGCCCTGAGCATCTGTGAAAATAGAAAAGAAAATCCAACACTTCCAGCAGACGATGGCATGTGGTGAACATGCCCATTCCAGAAGGGAGGAACTGTATAGAAAGAAATTGGACCAAAGGACGAGGAAACCCAACAGGGTGAACGTTAAATTCCATGTCTAGCACCAAGTACAAGGTGTGGTAAGCTGTGATTGCCAGAGAGCTTGGGTGGCCCTACCCTGTGACATTCCTGGTGTCTGCAGCCCTCACAGGCCGCTGCTTGGGCTGGCTTTGCTCACTGCCTGTGGCTCTTCTCAGACCCGTGTTCCTACCATCTCCAGCATCCTGGGTCTCCACTGTGCTTTTAGTTCCGCTCTCACGGCTTCATGCGCTGTCTTCTCCCTGTCACACTGTGTGCTTCCAGGCTTTCTTCTGAAATCTAGGCGGAAGTTTCCCGGGTCTCACAAATCAAGTACTCTTCTGCGTATAAAACCAGCATCAGCAATGCTAAGGTCTGCTGCCAAGGTCTTGAGCAGCAGCTGGCCTTCCTTGTGGCGTGGCAGTGGAAGTCTCTAAGTGCCTGCAGTGCGCATTGCTGAGAACTGAACCCCGGGAATGAATTCTCTTAAGTACCCTTTCTCCAGGATGATGCCTGGGGGACTATTTTCCCCAAAGGAAAGCCTTTCACTTTTGCGGTTGTGAGCCTGTAGAGAGTGAGCCCTTGTTAGTTCCTTGCATGTCCTTAAGCTGTTCTTATTGTCCTATAAAGTATTTGGCTTCTTTTAAATGCTAATCTTTTAGCAGCCAAGCTTTCCTGTGCTTTCTCTTGCAGGACCCATTTTACCAGAGGATCCCCTCTGGCCTAACTCATAACTGTTCAAAAGTGTTTTCCTCTCCTGAATTTCAGTATAAACCTGGTTAAAGGGGGGCAAGCAGTATTCATGCCACAGCCTTAACAATGGACTGCCTTAAAATTTCCTCCACAAGATTAATTAGTCTGCTGCCCTTATTTTCAGTCTGTACAAAGTCTCAGGACATGAGCAAAATATAGACAAAGCATGACATACATGTCATGAAATCCAACTGCCAGTGCAGTCTGTGTTGCCACCAAAAACTTCCTGAGCCTGGTCTTTACCATCTGCGTATTTTACCCTCATTCCTGAATCTCCCACCGAGCTCCACTGACAGCATTCCCAGGCTGCTGCTGCTTCGGGCATCTGCAGAACTTCCCACACTCCTCCCTCCTATGAACCAGTTCCAAAGACACCTGCACCACATGGTCAGGTAGTCAAGCAACGACCTTATTCTGTATCAACATCTGTCTTAGTTACTCCCCTCATTGCTGGGCAAAATATGTGGCACTCACCATTTAAGGTTTATTTTGGCTCTTGCTTCAGTCCGTAGTCCGCTGACTCCAAGACAGGATGGCCTGGCAGTGGGGTGTGGCGGAGGAGGGTGCCTTTGTGTGCATGGCATCGAAGCCAGGGAAGGTCTAGGAAAGGAGGTGGAAGCCACTGGTGTGGGCCACCGCAGCTCAGCTGGAAGCCCTATAATCCACTCACTTGCCAGATGATGACAGGAGGCATTGGGGTCTTCGAGATACAAACCGTAACAAAGCCTGTGAAAAATTAAAAATTAGCATTCCATGTCTTTCTGTAAGCATTAATTTATGAGAACTACGTTGATAAACTGGAATAAAATTTAAAGATAGGGTAAAAGCTGAGAACTAGTCATATTCTTAGGGAAAATAATGGGGAAAAGAAAAAATGTTCATACTGGGTTGATATAACACTGATGGTATTTTTTACATTGGTAAGCCACTATTTATAGTTTATAAAGCTCCATTACTCACACCTCATTTCCCCTGGGCTGTAAGAGAGTTGGTAATCCATTCTTACAGATGAAGACAAAGAGGCCAGAGAGGTCACGCTGCAGTGATTGTAGCAGGTTACTGTGAGTTTGGGGGGGGGATTAAAAGAGTGTGAGAGACTCAAATCTCACTTCTTATCTTCGGATATTACATTTTAAAAGAAGAAGAAAATCTCTTTATTCTCCAACTGCTATGTTATATAGCTCCTATTTTACATGCATAAATATAGCATTTATAATATATATTTATACCTATCTCGCATATGTTTCATGTAATATATCTGTATCTATTGATATTTATATCTATCTATCTATATGAATAATCCTGACCCTGGATTTAAATGCTTGCCTTTCCCCTGTTAGGGGACAAGTGTAAGTTTGGTTTGGTTTTGTTCTTCTTGCAATACAGATGCCAAAGACAAGAGGTGGATGAGTTTGTAAAGGTCCTTTTGAATCTTCATTATCCTCAGTCCTATTCTGGCAACACCAGGAAAGGTCTGTCCCTTTCCCCTGGCACTGGGGACTGAGCCCAGGGCCTTCACACTGAGCTGTATCCTCTCCCTTTTGTACTTTTTTTTTCTTTTCTTCAAATTTTGAGGCAGTATCTCGTGCAGTTGTCCAAGCTGGTCTCAAATTTATGGTCCTCCCTCAGCCTCCCAGAGAGCTGAGATCACAGGTGTGCGCCACCATGCCCAGCTTTGGAAATGCCTTTAACTTACACTGCCACCTTGCCTGTGTCTCAGATCCCAAAGTGGAGCTTAATTCACTATCCCATGGCTGATGCCTCATTTCTTCCTGAGGACTGCTTCCTGACTCCTGTGACTAAAAACGAACTCTTTCCCCGAGAGATGTCAGGTGCACCTTCGTTCCTATTAAAAGTGCCATCTTTGCTCTGTTGCCCTGGAAATAATTTCATATTCCTCCCTCTCGTTTTCTATTTTATTCTGTCTCTCCTGCTGCACTCCTCCAGTATTAGTCAGTGCTTAGTCACCAGGCTGAAGTGCTCTGAAATTCTTCCTGGTTAAGGTTTTCTTTCTACTCTGTGTCTCTGGATCTCAACCCCGGTTATCTGAGTGTGACCTGTGGGCCCTCACTTCCTCCCTGATCCCCTGACCTCTTAGGCCTGCCAAGCCTCTTCCTTTCCACCAGTTTTATATTTTGGAAACATCCTTTTGGATCCCCGTGTTCATCTGCTGCTAAGGTTAGGGTTAGCACTGTGTGCTGTCCTGCACGGATTTTGTCAGATCTCAAGTTCCTTTGAAGAGTGATGCCAGCTAATGTTCTTAAAATGCAGCCTAGCTCTGGCTGCGTTAGTTGATTTTTCTCATCGCAGGTGACTTGTAGACATAGACTCTCCTCTGTATTTAGGAGGCAAACCTTGGGTTACTCCTGGTGAAGGCGGCACATTTGTAGGAAGTTAGAGAAGGAAAGGGTACGGCGTTTGTAGCAGTGGCTTCTGCTGTGCATCATCCAACTGCGAACTCAGTAGCTTTTTTTCTTAAGCAAAAGTAAACCTGAAACTGGAATTGCAGCTCAGAAGTAACACTTGGCTCACTTCTCTACAGGCTTCATTTTCTCTGTCCCTGCATATTTTTGTCAGAAGCCCTTATGGTCAAGGTCCGTTGGTCACCCAGAGTCAGCTAAGTAGATGCGACCTGCTTTATCTTGGAAAGGGCCCAGCTGAAAGCGGCCAAATAACTGAGTTCATTTGGAGGGTTTGAGAAATGTGCTTGTCATTGTTTGGCCGGCTGCCTGCCCTTCCTCCGGAGTCCTGGTCGCATTCCCGGAAGCCGGGGCCTTGGAGCTCACTGTGGAGGGGATGCAGAGGGCACCGGCTCTTTCTCTGGTGCTGGCTGCTTCTCTGTTCTCCTTCCCCTTCCCACACTCGGGCCCCCTCAGACCCCTTTCCTCTCCTCTTCCTCCCTGTGCCTTCATGCTTCCTGCCTCCCATTCTTCTGTACCCCCTCACCTCTCTGAGCAGCTCTCCATGTGCTGTAAGAGCCTCCGTGTGGACAGGAATCCTAAGTGTGAAATGGGGCACCTCAGTGAACGAGATCCCATCCAGTCATCCGGGCAGAACAGTGGGCTCAGGACCCCGAGGTGTTCCTGGGGCCGGGAGCTGGACTTCATCAGTTCATACCTGAAGACTGCGGGAACTAAGCTGCTCGGCTGCAGACTCACAGGCAGGAGCTCTCTGGTCAGCCTCCTCCCACTAGCGGGTGTAGACACAACTGTGTCAGCCTCTGGTCTTCAGTGGAGTTCATTACCTGACTTTTTGTGGCCCTTGGAGAAAGCCAAGGAAAGAAAAGCCCTTCCTTCTAAAAACAGCTTTTGAGTTTAAACTTTGCCTTTTTCTTTTCCTGTTCAGATGCCATCATCTTGTATTTTTGTGTTGCTTATCGACTTTCTAAATCTGCACTTACCCACTGTCAACCTTGAGAAAATTTCTGTCTTAGGGCTGTGGTGGTTACTATGGATCTCTGCTCACCAGTACCAGGGTGACAGGCTGGGAGACTCACCGTGACTTCCTTCCCTGGTCTGTAGAGTTTATAACTCTTAGCCCAGAATGGTTTCCTTCTAGCAGTGTTGCTGGGCTTGCAAATATTTATTTCTGCTGTGTGGCTTTTCTTACTTGAAATAAGCTGTTGTAGACACTCATTAGACATTCTTAGAAGAACTTTAAGTAAAGATTCTTTGATTTTTTTTTTTTTTACCAAGCATTTCATTATCAGATTGTGTGGGTGTGAGTGTGTGTGAGTGTGTGTGGTGTGCTTTGCCTTTCATAGCTCTTCCCTTGCTCAGACAGTACAGCATACCTGACCACCTTGCGGCCTTTATTGTGTGCAGATAATTTTTTCAGCACCCACCTCCTGCTTAGGGCTTTAGAATGTCTCCACCTCTCCATTTTTCTCTTCCGAAACTCACTGGCCCAGCATTTAGGTGTGACAGGGCCCACAGTCCACTGTATCACTCACTCAGGTGGCTCCCGGCCAGGCCGCAGGAAGGCACAGGTCCATGTTGGCACCCTCATCTCCCCATCACCTCCTGCCCCCGGAGGTGCGCATGGCCTGCTGGAGAGCAGCAGCCTGGTCGGTGCCCTGATCCCTGGGTGCCAGCAGTGCCAGGTTCACTCACATGCCCTCTGCCGCGCCCTTTCTTTGCCAAAGCCGTCCGCTAATAACTTCCCAGCTCCGACTTACGGTGCCAACCAGAGAAAGCATCTGAAGTCCAGAATCCAGTAGAGTTGTTCCTGCGGAGGTTGTGGCGAGGGTGACTCACGTAATTGGAGTGAGTGGAGGATGCTTCCTTCCAGGAGGAGTTGGGCGTGCAGGGACGCGCCTTGTTCTCCAGCTGGCTTCGGAGGGAGGCGCTGGCTGCTGAATTTCTTGCTGCTCTGCTATCAGCTTCTCTCGAGCTGCTGTGGCAGGCGTGAGGATGAATCAGAATCTGCTGTTTCAGAGGAGAAATTTGTTGGAAGGTGCAGGGAAGGTCTGATGAAAATGACCAGAGGATCCTAGAGTGCTGTGTGGGGACAGCCTGGAACCAAGTTTGCCTGCTGGTACCAGGTGGCTCTTCGGAACTGGTTCTCCGCTCCTGAGTACCCTGGCGTGGTCCACACCACTCCAGACATGCTTTGTGCTGGTGTTGCCACCCAGAAGAACCAAGCCCTTTTTAAAATACAGACTTCAAAGCTGGGTGTGGTGGCACATGCCTGTAACCCCAACTCTGGGGAGGCTGAGGCAGGAGGATTGATGTGAGTTCAAGGCCAGCCTGAACTACATAGTGAGACCCTGTCTCTAAAACAAAACAAAATGAAAACCAAAAAGCACAACAACAACAAAAAAGATGTAGACTTCAAAAGCATACTTGCTTAAACTGTTCTCATCAGCATACAAAGAAAAAAAAAATCATTGCATTCTGATGAAGAAGGGCAAGTTTATGATTTTTGTATTCAAAAAAATTTTTTTATTACAGTGCTGAGCATCAAACCTGGGGCCTCACACATTCTAGGCAAGGGCTCTCCATGCCCAGCTCGTTGGTCTGATTGTTTGTTATTATCAAAGGAGAAAACGTGAATGTCATGTGCACATTTATGTGTATATAAATTTACACATTACAGTTTACTTATTTAAGTAATAGAGCTGTGTGAGTCAACTCTGCTGTGAAAAAGCCTGGAGCGGCTTGTGATGACCAGAAACTGACATCTTCCTCATGTAGGAATGGCAGGACTTTTATACAGCCTTACATATTTTATCTTCCTTATGAAGGATTCTAGCTGAATGAAAACTTAGCTGACTTCCTACCCTGAATCTCTTTGTTCTCAGAGCTGTTCCGCTGCCAAAAGTGACTGCAGAAAACTTTATTCAACAGGGCGTGGTGTGGTTGGGAGTCTGATTCTGATTTGACTTTGGAGATTTTAAGATCTGTCTCCGGAAGCAGGATATTTGTACCCCAGCTACACACACAGCCTGTTTCTGTCTGGTTCAGGGGGACTGCAGCCGTAAGCAGAAACAGTGAAAGGACACCCAGGATTTGGAGGTAGACTTACTTACATCGACGGGGACCCATGGGTATCGTTCCCAGGATACCAGGCCCCAGTCTCCAGTGATCTAGGCCTACATGGGATAAGCAAGCAGGAGGTGCAGAGGCAGAATGGCTTGTCCCTTGGGGACTGGTTTATACAGTGTGCAGCACAGTGATCAGCTGTTTCTTAGAGACAAGAGCAACGGGAACTGGAACAGGAACTGTTACCTGAGCCACTAAGAAACTCAAGTACCCTGGCTGGGGTGGGGGTGGGGCATTTTCTGCTACAGGATCTTTGGATGCTGCCCAGAATAAAAGAATCTGACATTGATTAGAAAAGCTAAAACAAGACCACTTGCAATGGAAGATGGGAGTTTTGTTCATAGTTTCACAAAAAGGGAAAAAACCTGCATGGGTTTCCTTTGCCGGGAGAATGTGAGCACCTCAGTGTTTAGCGAAGTGATGCAGTGGTGAGACAGCCTTGATTTTGTGCTTTCTTTGTTTGCCTCTTCTGTGTCTCAACGACCTCCACGCTGTATCCTCAGAGCCCCAGCTGTCACTTAGGTGCCTTGGTGACTGTCCGCAGCCCTCTGTGACCTGATCGTGTGGTTTCCCATGTGTCTCCACATCTCACCCCCTTGGTCCTCCACACACTCCTCCCATCCAGACACCCAAGAACAAAACTCTGCAGGGCGTGGTGGCTCAGACCTGTCATCCAGCACTCAGGAGGCTGAGGCAGGAGGATCGCCATGAGTTCAAGTCTAGCCTGGGCTACATAGCAAGACCCTGTCTCAAGAACAAAACAAAAAAAAAAAACAAACACCCCCCTCAAAACAGCCCAAGGTGGCCCCTGTGAATCACCCCCTCTTCATGTGTTGGAAGCCCCTGCTGCCCTGCTCCTCCTTCCACTCCAGGGCTTCTCCAGTCTTCCCTGCCCTGTAGCTCACCCTCACTTCCTGGTGCTGTGACACAGCTCTCGCTCTCCTGGCTCCATTTTTGCTGCTTTCCGTAGGCCATGGAGTCAGGTTTTGTCAGGCTTCAGATGCACTGTGGGGGTAAAATCCAGCCCCACTCCCCTTACTTTCCTGGGCTCTCGGGGTTATTTTGTGCCACACCCAGCCTCTCTCTCAGGGGCCCCACCTCTTCCCTGGGATTCCTGTCCTCTTGCATCTTCATTGTTGCCCAGATGCTTTGGCACATGCCTATAATGTCAGCAATGTGGGAGGCTGAGGCAGGAGGATCACAAGTTCAAGGCCAGCCAAGGCACTTTAGCTAGAACCTACCTCAAAACAGAATATCTAATGGATGTCAAAAGATTAACACAAACCAAACAAAACTTCCTGGACTATTGTTAGCATACATGTAAGAAACACCCTTTAACCACGTGACATTGAATAATCTGTGATTTTAAAGCATACAATTTGAATAGCATCCGTATTTAAATGAATGTCACTCTGAAATTTTCTTATAATGTGTCAGGATGAATAAACTATACCAAATAACATGTATGTGTGAGAAATTACCAAATGAATAAAATTATACCCTTACTGAATGATTTTTCTAAGGTATTTGTGAATAATGTTGGATTTGTGTGTATGTGTGTGTGTTTGCTTTTGAGACAGGGTCTTGCTGTGTAGCCAGGTTGGCCTTGAACTCACTGTGACCCTCCTGACTCAGCCTCCTGAGTTCTGGGATGACAGACGTGTGCCTTCGGACCCAGCATACTTGTAGATAATTGTAAGAGAATGATTGCTACTGCTGAGTCATTAGATACTGCTTCTGCCGTGTCATTTACGTCAGTGTTGCTGGCCCTTTGTATTTTAGCAGGATGTTTGTTCTGGTGGGCGCCCCCAAAGCCAACACCACCCAGCCGGGCATCGTGGAAGGAGGACAGGTCCTCAAATGTGATTGGTCCTCCAGCCGCCGCTGCCAGCCAATTGAGTTCGACTCCACAGGTGAGCGTGGATGCTGTGGTGCATTTTCTTGTTTTACATTTGATTTTTCAAAAATGTAATGATTTGATGAAACAACACATTTAGTCACCTCAGGACCACAAGAAATGTTATATAGGCAAATGATTTATGTGATTTTTACTCTACTTTCCTAGCCTGTGAAAGGTTTAAAAACACATTGTGTTTCCATTGTTCTGGAGGAACTTCTGGTCCAGAGGGAAGTGCCAACTAGCAGTTGGGCAGAAATCCATTGAGATGTTGTTACATTTTTTTTTTTTTTAAAGAGTGAGCCCCGATAGAGCAGAACTTCCTCCATCAGGCACACTGAAACCTAACTCATCTGCCACTAGAGCAGACGGACTCCCTAATCAAGAAAACATCCCAGCCCAGGGGGTGCTGTAAAATCCAGCCAGTGAGTCTGCACAGTCAGGTAAATGGAGGTGATTGGAAAGCAGAAAACACTTTTTAAAAACCTCTTCTCCAAACCTCACGGGACAAAGTGTAAACTATGCTTCCAGTAAGAGGGCCATATTATCTTTAGGGACAGATTCCAGTGGTGGTCAGGACTGTGGGGAAAAGGAGGAAAACAGCAGAAGGAGGATGAGAGTACATTGAAGTGTTTTTTTGTCTTTTTCTTTTTTATTGGTACCGGGAATCAAACTCACGATTGCCTGCTTGCAAGGCAGGTGCTTATGCTGCTGAGCTAAATCCCCAGCCCCAGTACACTGAAGTTTTATATTTACATCAGTGCAGTAAGATATAACCCTGGATCTGTTTATGTTGCTGTGTTAATATATCCTTGTGAGGGCTTAGAAAAATCTTCAGAGAGCTGAAACATCTCTTTTAGTTTAATAGTTTTTAAAAACTTTTTAATGATTATTGGTTTTGACAGAGCGCTTTGAAATAATTTTGAGCACAATTAACTTCTTTTTCTGTCTTGTTATTTACTGCTAGTTCTATAATACATTGTTTCTGAGAGTTAAAATATCATCAGAACAGGAGTGATGATGTGGTCTGCCCCTCTGAGTGTGGGGCTGAGCCAGGGGAAATGTCTGTCACTAAGCCAGCTGCTGAGGGGAGTTGGATCACAGGGCTTTTGGTTCTATTTTGTTTTGTTTCCATTTCAAATGGAAACAAAGTTTTGTTTTTTCCATCTATGGTCAATACTGGGAAAACCACACACAGTTAGTAAATAGGCTCAATTTTAACACAAGAGGAGAAATACCTTCTATTCAGATTATTATAGGCCAGAGGTTTATCTTGTGTCAAATTATGAATGCTATTAAGATGAATCATAGTTACGTATCTGTGGAATCCTTTACGTATGTTTTGGCTTTCAGTGTGTGACAAGATAATTTATTGCTGGTCTTTAAAAAAAAAATGTGACTTTGCATAGTGTTGAAAAACATGATCCATGCCTGTAATAACAAATTTCAGTCAGTCCATAAGTGTCTAGTGAAAAAAAATAGAACTCTTACATCAGCCTACTCAGCGACAGCTGTGTATAACCGTGATTTATCCTTCTAGAATTAGAGTTTCTATACCTGTATGCATCCTTTGAAAAAAAAGTAATTCACAAGAGGAAACATTCTAAATAAACAGGCGCTGTCCGGCATTCTGCCCGGCATGGTCTGTGCCATGGCCCGTTACTATCTCGTGGATCTTTCCACTGTGCTTGCACAGGTGTGCCTGTATTCTGTGAATCACTGATTGTGTGTGTGTGTGTGTGTGTGTGTGCCCTAATTTATTTAACATACATTTCCTGTTGATGTGGGTTGGTTTCAGGCTTTTGCTATTTTAAGCAGTAATAAAGTGAAAGTTTTACTCACAGCTATTTGTACAAATACCTGAGTGTGTCTCTGTATGATAAAGTTGTAGTTGGGGATTTGGGGGTTCAAGTTATGTATATTTAAAGTTTTGGTAGGTATTGCAGATTATTCTGTACAGAGGTTTATATGCCTCTTGATTATGTTTTCTGATATTCAGAATGATACCATTTGTCACCATATTTAAAAAATTTTTTTATTAATGCATGTTTACAGTACTGTTAGGGCTTGTGTCTAGACCTCCCCCTAAAGCCCCATGCAGCCGAGGCAGGGCTTTTTCAGAGCTGACTGGATCTCAAGAGTGTGATCCTGAGATTCCGGGTGTGTGAATAGTAAATTAGTCCACTGATTGGAGTTCTGGGTGTCAGTAGAATATAAATGAACAGAAGAAGCTGTGGTTGCCGCTTGCTGCTTGCTGCCTTCGCCTGCCCTGCTTTGCCATGAATGTTCTCCTCTGCGACGCCCTTTGCCGCGTCACTCTACCTTGGGGCCAGACGACTGTGGATGAAATCCTGCAAACTGGGAGCCTGATAAACCTTTCCTCTTTTAGCTTTGAGTATTGAGTGTTTTGTCTCAGTAACAAGCAAAGTAAGTAACACAAGTACAAGAAGGTTACACTCATTGTGGGGAAATTGGTGCGTGTACATGACACATCTCAAATCAGTGTTCCCCCTTTCTCTCCAATTACTTTTTTTTTTTTTTGCTGGCATCAGATTCATTCGTCTTATAAGCCCTTATGAAGTTAATTATCTTACATTCAAATTAACAGCCTTACTGATAGTCCTAAAACATATAAAACACATGAGGCAATTACACTAAACCAAGGTACATTTTTAGATACTTTGTTCATGCTCGATTACAGTAACTTTTTTTCCCCTCTTTTGTCTGTTTTTTATTTTACATTTTATTTCTTTTGAGTGTCTTATATGAGAGAAAGAACTTTTGTGTATTTTACTTCACTTAATGCTAAGCTCTCAAAGAGCTTAATGTTAAGCTCTCAAGGAGCTACCATTTTTAACAATTTTTATTTTTATTAGTACATGATAGCATTATGTTTACATTCATCGTGGGGAGTTGGTGAATGACTTTTATTTTGTGGGAGAAAATAGCCTTTGTTCTATTAATTTACCTTCTTTTTCATTAATTATAAGACAGATCTTTGCATGTATTTGACAGCCAGGGGCATTCCTTGTCCTGTGAGCTGTTTTCAGTGCATTGGGACTTACTGCCTGTTGCCATGTGTCCCGGTGGAAGGCACTCCCCTTCCAGAGCTTAGTCACCATCGAGAGTCACAAGTGATACTGGGTCTCTCCGAGAGTCACAGTGGAGCTGCCTCCTGTCTTCTTGCCGGCATCCTGGTCCAAGTCACTCCCGCTCTGGGTTTCTGAATGGCTCAGGGCCCTGCCAGGAATGAAGCAGCACAGTTCAGCGAGGGGCATGGAGGAGCTTGGCTATTTACAGAGGACTGTGCAGGGTCTTGGCGTTGATGCGAGCCTGGCACTCCAGGCCTGTAGGAGTTGGCAGAATCCAAGGACAGAGGACGAGGTGGAGGGAGCCACAGGAGAGGGGGCACAGCCTGTATCAGGGCAGCAGCCCTCCCAAAAGGACCAGAAGGATGATCAGCTTTCTGCAGCGGAGACAGAATACCAAGGTTATCGGCTTCACACGGAGAAAGGTTTATTTTGACTCATGTTTTCAGCCCAGGCTTCAGGGTGTGGCACTGGGGGGCCCCTTTAGGCTCCTCTTGGGATGAGAGATGAACACCCTTGGTTCTCCGGATCACATTGCTGTTGGCTTATTCATTTAGTTTGAGTGCAGAAAACAAATTCTTTCTCCAAATGTCAGTTCCATGAGGACACTTCTGGTTTTTGTCTGTTTTATTCACTGCTAAAACCCCAGGGCTTAAAATAATACCTGATGTCTGGCAAATGTTGCCGCCTAAGAAACAGAATAGACAAATGAATGAATAAACCGTATAACTGTATCAGGCCAAAGTATCTAAAGTCCTTCAGTTCCATCCATCCATTTGTCCGTCCATCTATCTGTCTGTCCATTCATCCATCCATCTCTGTTCTTTCCTCCCCTCATTAGATACTGGGGATATCTGTTACCACAGCATAATGAGATGTAAGTTGGTTAATACATCTAGAGTCATTAAAGTAGAATATCAATTGGTACTATTGGAAAACGCGCATTAAAATCTTGTCTTGCAGAGTATTGTGTTGCATGCCTGTAATCCCTCTGGGAGGCTGAGGCAGGAGGATTGCAAATTTGAGCTCACCCTGGGCAAGACCTTGTATCAGAATAAAAAAAAGAACTGGGAATGTAGCACAGCATAGAGGTCCTAGGTTCACCACCCAAAACAAAACGAGACGCTGTCTTATTCTGCAAGACAATTTGAACTTTCCTTGAAGTGTTTTCTTCTGTTTTGCTGGGACCTGAGCAACAGTGGCTGAGAATCCCTGCTTGTCCTCCCAGCACCCTGCTTTGCAGATTACGTCTGGGAGAAAGCATAAATAGACCAGGGCTGTGGCAGGGATGCTGTGGCTTTGGGGTTCCCCAGTAGCTGGCGTTTCCTTTGTGGAGACTCTGACAGACAGGTTGTGGGATTGTTGAAAGTGATGCCTTGCACCCGGGACAGGAGGTTTTGAAGCCATCCTACTGCCTGTGCCACCAGGTCTCATCCTGCGCTTCTGTGATGTCACCTGGCTGGGCCAGTGGAGAGCCCTGGGCACCTTGTGAGCTGCAGGGGGGGGGGGGGCAGGTCAGGGCTCACCCGGACCCCGCTCTGTGGCCAAGCTGAGCTTCCCTCTTGCATTTTTCTCTACCAACTGCTGGTCTTTGGTTATTTTGTGTCGCACAGTTTAGTAGAGCCTTGAGAAATCCCAGATGGCGCTTGCATCAACACTTGAAGTTTGAAAGACAGTGAAATGCTCGAGGCACATTTGTTTTTGGTTTTGTTGCTTAGTGACTTTATCCCTTCATGCAAAAATAACAAACCTCAGCTAGAATCACAGTAAGAGTGTGTACAGTCAGAGGCTGTATGAAGACCCTGAAATAAAGCAGGATGTTGTAAATACAGTGGGCCTTTGTCCCTTTTCCTCCTTGTAGGTCAAGTGCTGCCCTCCTAGCACTCTCAGTGCACTAAGTTCAGTTCTTTCTCTGCATTAAACTGAA